GGGGGGATGGGGGTATAATAGTGGATCGGGGGGGGGAGGGGTGAGTCTAGACAGGTCTCCCGTCATTTATAGGTCACGCCTGGACTCGGAGGCGTCTCGGGGTGGATCGGGTTGGGCGGATCGGGTCGGGTGGATCGGGGGTCGGGGTGGATCGGGTCGGGGCGGATTGGTCCCCGGAGGGTTGCGGGTCCCCTGAGGACATGTTATCCCTCTCAGTGACCTTTTCATACCTCCATTACCGCCCCCCTCCCCTCCCCCACTGACGCAGAGCCTGGCCACTTTCCCTATTCAGGTGATCTCAGGAACCGGTCGGACCGGCCCGCACCTTGCAGAATACGGGAGGACTGGAATGCGGAGAATGGGGGCCACAACGCCTCCGCTCAGCACTCATTGGCCCCGGAGATGTCGCACGTCAATCAAAAAATATTTGGAGAGCCGCCGACACAAAAACGCAGAAGCTAATTCCCCCCTCTGGGTGGGTGGGGGGGGGGGGGGGGCGTTAGTTCGCAGACAGTTGGCCGCCATTCCTACCTTGTATAAAACTTTATTGGTCACGTCAGCCGATTACACACGCGGCCTCTGACCCGCAGCGCCACATTGTGACCAACTGATCTTATCTCAGCAGGAAGGCAAACTCCGCCCCCCGCCACTGAGGGGGATCAGAGGAATACGGAGCAGCAAAGAGCGCACTCCGCATAAAAGTGGTTTGTAATGTGGCTCCGCCCCCTCCCCTCCCCCGTGTTCTGGAATCGCATTTTCACTCCACTTTTCACGCCATTTGCAGCGCAGGACCACCACTGAGGACAGACCATCCGCCATCTTCAAGGGGCCCACAGGGAAGAAGGAAAAAAAAAAAAAAAAAAAAACTTCCTGGCGGCGTCCGTCCTGCGAGCGAGGCAATGCGATGGAGACCGCCCGGCGGGGGACAAAGCCAACAGGAAACACCTGGAGGGGGGGGAGGGGCATGCGGAGCGTCGGGGGTTAATGAGGCACAGCGCACATCAGAAAGTCATTAGAGGCCGGCGGTGGAGGGAGGGGGAGGGGAGGACGCCGATCGCCGCAGTACGGAGCGCGGCGCCGGAGGGGTTAAATATTTACAACTTTTTTCAATGTAAAAAAAAAAAAAAAAAAAAAAAAAAGTAATAAATTTTTGTGAAAATGTATTTTCGGCAGAAATGTCGCCAGAACAGGGTGAGCCAGGCTCCGCCCCCCAGTCAGATCCGACCAATAGAGGCTTTCATTCCGCTTTGTCCGTCGCTCAGCACCGACTTCCAGCGATTCCTACGGAGCGCCAGATATGAGCGCAATTCTCCAACGCACGCGGAGCCGACCTCCGGGATCTGCTACGGGCGAACAATTCGAGACCGCGCCGCGCGAGGAACAACCGCGAAAACCGCGTCATGTGACCCCCAAATGTACCATTCAGAGGAATGGATTGGCTCAGCGATCGCCATTTCCAGCTCGTACCGCGGGGAATCGGGCGCAAATCGCTGCGTCATCCGCAATGGAGGCGATGAAATGACAATATCACCATGAGCCGGGAGACCACAGAGAGACGGGGGGGGGGGGGGGGGGGGGCAACTGCAGACGGAGCGTCAGCTCTGCAGCCGAGGACCGCAGTCCACGGGGGGGGGGGGGGGGGGGGGGGGGGGGGGGTGATTGCAGACAGAGCGTCAGCTCTACAGCCAAGGATCACAGTCCATGGAGGGGGGAGCAGACCGCAGATGGAGCGTCAGCTCTGCAGCCGAGGACCGCAGTCCATGGGGGGGGGGGGGGGGGTGTGTGTGACTGCAGACGAAGCGTCAGCTCTGCAGCCGAGGTTCACAGTCCATGGAGGGGGGGGGGGGGGGAGCAGACCGCAGACGGAGCGCCAGCTCTGCAGCCGAGGATCGCAGTCCATGGGGGGGGGGTGTGTGACTGCAGACGAAGCGTCAGCTCTGCAGCCGAGGATCGCAGTCCATTGGGGGGGGGGGGGGGTGACTGCAGACGAAGCGTCAGCTCTGCAGCCGAGGATCGCAGTCAATGGGGGGGGGGGGGGGGGGGGTGTGTGACTGCAGACGAAGCGTCAGCTCTGCAGCCGAGGATCGCAGTCCATGGGGGGGGGGGGGGGGGGGGGGTGGGGGGGTGTGTGACTGCAGACGAAGCGTCAGCTCTGCAGCCAAGGATCGCAGTCCATGGGGGGGGGGGGGGTGGGGGGGGTGTGTGACTGCAGACGAAGCGTCAGCTCTGCAGCCGAGGATCGCAGTCAATGGGGGGGGGGGGGGGGTGTGACTGCAGATGAAGCGTCAGCTCTGCAGCCGAGGATCGCAGTCCAGGGGGGGGGCGCACTACAGATAGATTGTCAGCTCTGCAGTCGAGGACTAGACCATTGGAGGGAAGGGGGGGGGGGGGGAAGACACCGCAGATATTTGTTCTACAGCCAAGGAGTACAGACTGCAGAGGGGGGGAGGGGGGAATTGGCTGCAGAGCTGACACTCTAATATGTACCAGATGTCCAGTCAGTGACCCGCTGGGTGCAGAACCACAAGTCCCCAGCATGGCGCCCGGACAGACAGGAGTACACAGATCTCGGGGTCGGCAGTATAGAACGGCGAATATTTCATCAATGTGCGTAGCGAGGGGGGGGGAGGGGGGGCGAATGTTCGATGGCGGCGAATATACAGACCGCCGCGGAGTGCGCAGAGGGAGATCTGGCCACGACGGCGACGTCTGATTGGCAGGGAGGGTGGTGACATCAGGTCCCGGGAGGCGCGGCGGGGGGGGCGCGGGATCGGCGGTGAAGCCACAAAAGGCCGTTTCATGGCGCCGGGAGGAGCTCAGAGTCAGCGGACCATCAGATCCGACGCAAACCGGGAACCCGAGAGACGGTGCAGAGACCCCGCGGGGGATGGGGGGGGGGGGGGTCAGACCCCCGCAGACGGCACGTGGGGGATGGGGGGGGGGGGGGTGTCTAACTTTTTAATTATCCGACGCAGCGCCGAGGGAGGAGTCCGGCTACATTCCTGACAGCTCCGCCCACACAGGGGTCACCGGCAACTGCACTCCGCCAGCACCAGAGGGAGAGGTTGGTCAGCTGAGGAGGACTGCAGACATTAGAGTGTCAGCTCCGCAGCCAAGGACCTCCTCAGACATTAGAGTGTCAGCTCCGCAGCCAAGCTCCGGACTCGGACTCCTATGCTCTGATAGGGCCGCCCCCCCCCCCCACACATCATTTCAATCCCGGCCCTTTAAGAAGTGTCCTAGACACAAGAGCTGACACTCATCCTGGCTCCACCTCCTCACAGCGCACAATGGATTCCGTCTGACAGGATATCGGATTACCTTCCCAGGAGCCCGGCCCCGCCCCCACTATGGCAATGACAGGGACTCTGGAAGTGGAGGGGCTCCGCACTCCTCTGGGGGTCAGGTGGGGTCAGAGCCTGGAGGGGGGTTTAACCTCAGAGACCACCGAGACAAAAAGACCATCTGCAACCCCCCCCTCCCCCCCCACCGAGGGGGAATAACTACTCCGAAACACAGCGGGGGCAACCAAAACTGAGGGGGGGGGGGGGGGCGCATCAACCGACTGTGCAGTTCCTGGCCGTGTTCACAAATGTCTGACACACATCAGCCCCTGTACAACCTCTCACCTTACAATGTACAGTCTGATCACTGGGGGAGGGGAGACTGAGGAAATGCCCCTCCTCCTTCTATAAAGTTACAATGTACAGTCTGATCACTGGGGGGAGGAGACTGAGGAAATGCCCCTCCTCCTTCTACAAAGTTACAATGTACAGTCTGATCACTGGGGGAGGAGACTGAGGAAATAAGGGCAGCGACCACATACAGGGGGGAGGAGCCTGAAGGGAGGTGGGAGGGGCAGCGACCACATATGGGAGGAGGAGCCTGAAGGGAGGGGGCAGCGAACATATACAGGAGGAGGAGCCTGAAGGGAGGGGGGAGGGGGCAGCGACCACATACAGGGGGAGGAGCCTGAAGGGAGGGGGAGGGACAGCGTCCACATACAGGAGGAGGAGCCTGAAGGGAGGTGGGAGGGGCAGCAACCACATACGGGAGGAGGAGCCTGAAGGGAGGGGCAGCGACCACATACAGGAGGAGGAGCCTGAAGGGGGGGGGCAGCGACCACATACAGGAGGAGGAGCCTGAAGGGAGGGGCAGCGACCACATACAGGAGGAGGAGCCTGAAGGGAGGGGCAGCGACCACATACAGGAGGAGGAGCCTGAAGGGAGGGGCAGCGACCACATACAGGAGGAGGAGCCTGAAGGGGGGGGGCAGCGACCACATACAGGAGGAGCCTGAAGGGAGGGGCAGCGACCACATACAGGAGGAGGAGCCTGAAGGGAGGGGCAGCGAACACATACAGGAGGAGGAGCCTGAAGGGAGGTGGGAGGGGCAGCGACCACATACGGGAGGAGGAGCCTGAAGGGAGGGGCAGCGAACACATACAGGAGGAGGAGCCTGAAGGGAGGGGCAGCGACCACATACAGGAGGAGGAGCCTGAAGGGAGGGGGGAGGGGCAGCGACCACATACAGGAGGAGGAGCCTGAAGGGAGGGGGGAGGGGCAGCGACCACATACAGGAGGAGGAGCCTGAAGGGAGGTGGGAGGGGCAGCGACCACATACAGGAGGAGGAGCCTGAAGGGGGAGGGGCAGCGACCACATACAGGAGGAGGAGCCTGAAGGGAGGGGCAGCGACCACATACAGGAGGAGGAGCTGAAGGGAAGGGAGGTGGGAGGGGCAGCGACCACATATGGGAGGAGGAGCCTGAAGGGAGGGGCAGCGAACACATACAGGAGGAGGAGCTTGAAGGGAGGGGGAGGGGCAGCGAACCACATACGGGAGGAGGAGCCTGAAGGGGAGGGGCAGCGAACACATACAGGAGGAGGAGCCTGAAGGGAGGGGGAGGGGCAGCGAACACATACAGGAGGAGGAGCCTGAAGGGAGGGGCAGCGAACACATACAGGAGGAGGAGCCTGAAGGGAGGGGGAGGGGCAGCGACTACTTACAGATATAATAATAGTCCGTCCCGACAGCGAACTCGAAGCCCAGCGAGAAGGGGGTGTACCTCTGGATCTTCTCGGAGAATCGGATTGGCCCCAGGGGTGCGTGGGGGCGGTTACATTCCCAGCGTTTGAAGGCTTTGGGGGTCTCGTAGCAGCCGTCGTACCCCTCGCGCTCCACCATGTACAGGACGAAGCTCTCGGTGTGCTCGGCGGGGACGCGGGGGGTCGTAGTGCGGACAGTAGATGTCCAGGTAGTCATTGATCTGCACAACCACCGTATAGTCCTTCAGGAACCTGGCGGGGAGAGGAGGCGGTTAGTGAGCGCTGTGATTGGGGGCGGAGTCTCCTCCCACTTCCTGTCGTGTCACCAGAACAGGAAGTGAAGGGAATTCTCCTGACAGGTTCTGACCCCTCCCGACCCCAGGTCACGTCCTGCATGGATACGTCTCAGCGGAGGGTGGCGCTCCGCCCGCACGCGGTGTGTCCTCAGGGCTGGACGGTAAATATTTGTACAATGAGTCGGGTGTGAGGTCAGCGAGGAGGAAACTGCAGTCATAGATTGTAAGCTCTGTAGGCAAGGAAGGGGGGGGAGGTAGTCTCCAATGTTATCTCCACCCATAATAAACAGCCCCCCCTCCCCCCATACGCACAACATGGCGGCACAGCTCCGCCCACACCGTCGCGCTTCGTCTCGTCTCTCTCGGCTGTTCAAACGATTTCTGGGCAGAAGACGAAGTTAAACAAACAGCGAGCCGCCGATTAATCCCGGGACCCCGAGGGGGGGGAGGGGGGGGCAGAATCACCCCGAGAGGTGCCGACGCAGCAGAGAGCGATGAGTGACCACCAGCAACACGCACATGTGGAGTGAGAACACAGAGCAATCCGACTACAGAGAGAGCGGGACCAGGGGAGAGAGCGGGACCGGAGGGGGGGGCGGGACCGGGGGGGAGAGAGCGGGACCGGGGGGGAGAGAGCGGGACCGGGGGGGGAGCGGGAGAGGGGAGAGCAAGGGGGGGGGAGAGAGCAAGGGGGCCAGGGCAAGAGAGAGCGGGGCCAGGGCAAGAGAGAGCGGGGCCAGGGCAAGAGAGAGCGGGGCCAGGGCAAGAGAGAGCGGGGCCAGGGCAAGAGAGAGCGGGGCCAGGGCAAGAGAGAGCGGGGCCAGGGCAAGAGAGAGAGCGGGGGCCAGGGCAAGAGAGAGCGGGGCCAGGGCAAGAGAGAGCGGGACCAGGGCAAGAGAGAGCGGGACCAGGGCAAGAGAGAGAGCGGGACCAGGGCAAGAGAGAGCGGGACCAGGGCAAGAGAGAGCGGGACCAGGGCAAGAGCAAGAGAGAGCGGGACCAGGGCACAGGGGAGAGAGCGGGACCAGGGGGGAGAGAGCGGGACCAGGGCAAGAGAGAGCGGGACCAGGGCAAGAGAGAGCGGGACCAGGGGGAGGGCAAGAGAGAGCGGGACCAGGGGAGAGAGCGGGACCAGGAGAGAGAGCGGGACCAGGAGAGAGAGCGGGACGGCCGGGGCAAGAGAGAGCGCCCAAAAGCAAGTGAGCACATCCTTAGATAGCAAGAAAGTGAGAGAGAACCAGGACAAGTGAGCACCTGAGAGCTCCCAAAAGCACAAGGGAGGGTGTGCAGGAGAGGGCACCCAGGCGGGCAAGGGGGGGGGGGGGGGGGGGGGGGGGGGGGGGGGGGGGGGGGGGGGGGAGCGCCTAGATGGGCAAGGGGCGGGGGTGAAAGGGAGCACATGGGGGGGCTCATCATCACACCTCCTCCCCCGGCACACGCTGAACATTCCGGGAAGCTCCTTCGGTGGCCCTTTAAGCGGTGTGCAGGGAAGGGCGCCTCGCCCCATGGCATGACGCCACGCGGCGTAACGCGCGCCCTGCAGGTGAGGAGTGATGAGCCGACAGCGCAATCCAGGAGGGTGAGACACAACGGAGCCATTGTCCGGAGCGGGGGGGGGGGGGGGGGGGGGACTGGGTCAAGGGGGGATCCCGGGAAGGGGCGCAGTGGGCGGGGCCATGCAGCTGATCTGAGGTGTGAAATGTCAGCCGGGGCCACACACCTTCCAATCTGATTGGACGAGGATGCGGTGGAAGATGAGTCTGCGATCGCCCCGACGTGGAGGAGGTTCCCGTCCAATCATCACCCCGACGCGGATACGGCAACTTTCTGGGTCATGTGACCAGAGGCAGCCATGCTGCTGAGCTCCAACCCTGCCGGTCACATGACCAGGAACATCACTGGGATGGAATGGACGGGAAAGGAGATTGTACAATCAGATTGGGCTGTGTATGGCCGGAGACCCCCCCCCCCTCCCCCCAGGACGGTCGATGACATCACAGACGGAAAAAGCCGACTGTCTGAAAATGAAGAGGATTTTGTCCGCTATTAGCCGCAGCGCCCGATTGGTTACAATACGCGGGTCACGTGACGGATCGGTGATTGAGGGCGGAGCCAATCAGAGGCGGGGGGGGGGGGGGGGAGAAATCACCTGATAATCGATGGACGACCAGAGAAGAGCGATTCCTGGCTGCGTCTTTGTGGCTCCGCCCCCTGCGTCTCCGGGCGCCAATAATGCTACTTTGCTGGGAAGATCTCAGGTGGCAGAAATTGGGGGTTTCTAGGGGCGGAGCCTGCAAAGTGTTACATTGTTACTGCGGGAGATCTCTATGGAGAGCAATGGAAGGATCTTCCTCCAAGAAGTAACATTGTCCTCCAATACTCTCCATAGAGATCTCCCGCAGCAACAATGGAACACTCCACCACTGGCAGCTCCCCTTCCCGCAGCAACAATGGAACACCCCACCACAGGCGGCTCCCCTTCCCGCAGCAACAATGGAACACTCCACCACTGGCGGCTCCCCTTCCCCGCAGCAACAATGGAACACTCCACCACTGGCGGCTCCCCTTCCCGCAGCAACAATGGAACACCCCACCACAGGCGGCTCCCCTTCCCGCAGCAACAATGGAACACTCCACCACTGGCGGCTCCCCTTCCCGCAGCAACAATGGAACACTCCACCACAGGCGGCTCCCCTTCCTGCAGCAACAATGGAACACCCCACCACAGGCGGCTCCCCTTCCCGCAGCAACAATGGAACACCCCACCACAGGCGGCTCCCCTTCCCGCAGCAACAATGGAACACCCCACCACAGGCGGCTCCCCTTCCCGCAGCAACAATGGAACACTCCACCACTGGCGGCTCCCCTTCCCGCAGCAACAATGGAACACTTTGCAGGATCTTCTTCTAAGAAGCAACATTGTCCTCGAAGTGTTACATTGTTACTGTGGGAGATTATGGAGAGTATTGGAGGACAATGTTACTTCTTGGAGGAAGATCCTTCCATTGCCCTCCATAGAGATCTCCCGCAGTAACAATGTAACACTCCACCACTGGAGGCTCCCCTTCCCGCAGCAACAAAGTAACGCTTTGCAGGATCTTACTCTAATACTCTCCATAATGATCTCCCACAGTAACAATGGAACAATCCACCACTGGCGGCTCCCCTTCCTGCAGGAACAATGGAACATTTTGCAGGATCTTCCTCCAATACTCTCCATAGAGATCTCCCGCAGTAACAAGCGTTACGTTGTTCCTGCAGGAAGGGGAGCCGCCTGTGGTGGAGTGTTCCATTGTTGCTGCGGGAGATCTCTATGGAGAGTATTGGAGGACAATGTTACTTCTTAGAGGAAGATCCTTCAAATGCTCTCCGTAGAGATCTCCCGCAGTAACAATGTAACGCTTTGAGAACAATGTTACTTCTTAGAGGAAGATTCTTCAAAGCGTTCCATTGTTGCTGCGGGAAGGGGAGCTGCCAGTGGAGGAATGCTACATTGTAGCAGATTTCCTGTCCGATTACATTGTTCCTTTCCCCAGGAAGGCATGTGGCGGGGTTACATTGTTGCGGCTCTGGCGGGGTTACATTGTTGCGGCTCTGGCGGGGTTACATTGTTGCGGCTCTGGCGGGGTTACATCGTTGCGGCTCTGGCGGGGTTACATCGTTGCGGCTCTGGCGGGGTTACATCGTTGCGGCTCTGGCGGGGTTACATCGTTGCGGCTCTGGGGGGGTTACATCGTTGCGGCTCTGGCGGGGTTACATTGTTGCGGCTCTGGCGGGGTTACATCGTTGCGGCTCTGGCGGGGTTACATTGTTGCGGCTCTGGCGGGGTTACATCGTTGCGGCTCTGGCGGGGTTACATTGTTGCGGCTCTGGCGGGGTTACATCGTTGCGGCTCTGGCGGGGTTACATCGTTGCGGCTCTGGCGGGGTTACATTGTTGCGGCTCTGGCGGGGTTACATTGTTGCGGCTCTGGCGGTGTGGGGCCGATCTCCAGCACAATGGAGGGGAATCGGTGGCCCCTGTAATGAGTTTTGGCAGAGCAGAGCGGGGGAGGGGGCCGGGCTCAGAGGGGGGAGGGGCTGGGAGGGGGGAGGGGAGCAGATGGAAGGAGAGACTCCGGAGAGGAAACTTCCCAGAAAATCCCAAATATGTTAATACAAATCAGACCCCCCCCTCCCCCGCCAGAGACCCCCGCCCCTCCCCCGCCGCCAGAGACCCCCGAACCCGACCACAGCCGCCATCTCCGGAGGGGGGAGGAGCCTCACCAACCCGCACACGAATGGCGCGCTCCGAGCGATCAGGAAACATCGATGAACGGCGCAATCCTGGATTCCATCGAAGCGTGCGACTCTGAGGGATCCAATCGCTACAACCGCAATCCTGCGCCAAGGGGAAGTCTCCGCCCCCAACGCATCCTACTGCGGTCCAGACCCCCGCCATCCAGGGGCCACACGGATCTGCGTTATGGGAGGCGGCTTAATGTCACGGCCACACGGCTCTGCGTTATGGGAGGCGGCTTAATGTCACGGATCTGCGTTATGGGAGGCGGCTTAATGTCACACGGATCTGCGTTATGGGAGGCGGCTTGATGTCACAGTCACACGGCTCTGCGTTATGGGAGGCGGCTTAATGTCACGGATCTGCGTTTTGGGAGGCGGCTTAATGTCACGGATCTGCATTATGGGAGGCGGCTTGATGTCACGGATCTGCGTTATGGGAGGCGGCTTAAAGTCACGGCCGCGATTTCTGAAGACTTAACAAGTTTTGTGATTTCTGTTCTCTGGATGTGAAATCGCAACAAAAACGGCAGAAAAAGTCGCCCAAGAACTGCTTTAGAAACGGCGGCGCAGAAAATCGCACGTTAGGACGCCGACATTCATTAGATGCCATTTCAGTTCACAAATCGCAGCCGTGCGGCCGG